GAATATATATATATATATATATATATATATATAAAGTCGTTCAATATATTTTCCGTCCTGCTGCTTGTATAGCAAAATACAGCGAAGACAGTTTTTTACCACCTTCAGAATAGTAGTATTTGAAATAATTTCGTACTGCGCGACGATACTCTATCTTAGCTCCTCGATCGTTCTCGGTTTTCGGGAATAAACGGTTCGCTTTCGATATTTCCACAGAAACAAATTCAAGGAAGACTGATCAAAGGATCTTAGAAGTCATTCCTTTGATCATCCTCGGGCAGTCCGTCTGCAGTTAAATTCCGAATAGAGGAAATTTCTCACCACCGCAACGGTGTGTGGCCGTGTATCGTCACATTGCAACCAAAGTGTGGTGCCAACTTCAGTTACATTGTTCCTAGATAAGCGGTCGAAAATTACTGGGAATTTTAATTACTTCTTATCCGCCTTTCGGAATTTCGGCACTCCGTCAGACAAATGACAGAAGCTTTTGGTGCGGGTGGTTAATGCGACGCACCTCTAAAGAACCTGACCGGAGCTGTCGCGACTAACAACAGGAAATCAGCTCGTTCACCCTATTAGGTACCATTACGAACGTTGGTCTTCCCGCAATTGTTTGGACAATATAAACATAATCCCCATAATAATTAGGAACCACAACAAAAAAGGAAGAGGAAAAATGTTTATTATTATGAAAATAATCATAAATCTTCCAGTTTGATGACTTTCGGTACAAATTGGTGACGTGTCGCTCGAAAGTTTTGTAACATACTGCTGTCATGAGTACCCCCGCTCCACGGCAGACTTCTTCCAAGCATTGCATGCGCCTTAGGCACATTCACATCAAGCCAGAGGGGTCACCGGTAAGTAATACACTTTACTGCTCACGCATCCTTTGTCTTACTGGTTGTTCGATCATACTCCATGCGCCTTCAGTTGGATTCAGCGCAGGGCAAAGAGGAACCAAAATCAATTCTGCAAATTTCACGTGCAACTTGTACGCCATGTTGCATTATCATGATATTGTAATGAAAAGGCGAGCTGGTGGGGAAAACGTTTATTGATTCAATTCAAAAGCAAACAATGTATGCGTTCGATTATATACATTCAATTCTCAACCGCGTGGCGGGATGATTCATGCCTCTTTCTGTGGGTCATTCCTTGTTGGTTTTGGTCCGCACTTGGCACGTACGTTGCCTCGTCTTCTGCTTACCATTCCGACTGGTTTGAACCGATCGCGGAGTGAGATGCGTTGATCGACAGCTCCGACGTTGTGGCATTCTGTGGGTATCTTTCCCGTTAGCTGCGGATTATCTGTCGGGCTGTAATTGTCGATTCGCTCGGTTCGGGTGGCAGTCAACATTGTCACGCGAGGCACTTCCCGCCGCTGCGTCTGCGCGTCTGGTCGGATGAGCCCCAGGAGCCAGGACTCTCTTTGTACCGCATTCCATCACAATATGACTGAGGTCGCTTTGCAAGGTACCGTCCACATAGTGACATGAAATCTTAAATTGATCCTGTGACATCTTAAATTGATATACGGACATCTTAAACTGAAAAAGTATAGAGTACTCAGGTCAAAATATCAGCCTTGTCACTGTTGGTTTCAAGCTACTTCTCAATCTATGATACAGATTTGCAATTTTGTAATAAGTAGTGTACACACCGGAGTTAAAAAGGTATATCGATTTGGGTCTTTCAAGAATCAGATAATTTAAGTGTATATTGGGTTCTGATGTAGGGACATATCCAACGGGTTAAAAACGTTATCAATACTGATTTGAAAATGTTGATCCACTCACTGTTGACATAAAGCTTTATCTTCAGGACTTATTACTGATTCCTCGGTCTCTTCGGCCAACGTCTCGTCTCTCATACTCGAAACAGACCGCCTCTTTCGTTCGGATGATTTCGATGCACGTCGTCTGCAACCGAATATAATTTGTGATCATGGACCACATTACCAACAATCAAAATACATGGTTTAACACAAATTATACATAAGTGGACTCGGCCAGAATCCTGTTTTAAAAGGAGTCCTATCGGGAAGGACAGAAAAGTGCACGTGAATTCATTGAATAAAGATGCAATAATAACATTTAAAATATATATTTATCACCAGCTTTCGGGCAAGCATGTATATTGAAAGAACCTAACATGAACCCGAATACCGGTTATCTCTGAATAACTGCTTCAACTATTTTACCTGCACAATTTTATTCCCAAGGAGTGATATATATTGAGCTGCATTGATATGAATAACATCTGAAAACGAGCTTGGTCGCCATTCTGTTGTTTTGTTTGAAACGTGCTCTGTGGGATAATTTGGACAATTTTTGGTCCATTGAAATCAAACATTGTCGTACAAATATGACAAACTAGAACTGACATAACACTATACCGGCCGTTTCTGTGTAGTAAGATAACCTTGTGACCAATCAAATGACTGTTGTCATTCAAATTCCATTAGATTAAATATTAACTAAATGACAGTCTTTAATTGGTAATTCTGGTTAACTGGTTGACACAATGATATACTCTACTGATGACCTGGACCCCGGAATGAAATTAGAGTTTATGCCTTTTCAACTTTAAGTGAATCCACTAATCTACTACGAAACCCATAATGTCATTGATGCTTCTGCCGTCAGACATTGTCCACTGGACCCAGTGTATTTAAATCCCGCCCACTTGGAATGAACTGATTTCTCCTCACAATTATAGAAGTATTTTTCTAGTGAAAGACTCCGCGAAAGCGAAGATTTTGGTGTGCTCAGATCTGGAAGCACAGTTTTCCCGTGATTAATTGGAATACAGAAGACAAAAAACAGGTTTGTTTATTGTATCCAGTATCATTTCGCTGCATCTCTCCATGTATAAACTGCAGTTTAAGTGATCATTAATATATAGACAGTAATGACCAAACCGTAGGTCTGTCTTTGTTCCACAACCACCCGGTCGTCAACACCGGTGAAAGAGTCGCTGCCTCCCACACCAAATCCAACTGTATCAATACAAATGGGGATGCTCGGCCATCCGTACAATTTCAAAATTGATTTAATATATTATCATTTTGAATTGAGAAACTAGCACTATATTGAAAATGAAACGCGGTGGTGAGATCTCCTTAAGTTCAGCGCACCTCATTGGTTGATTGATCACATGTGAATCATGCGAATAGCAAAATTTCTTAAGAGGACTGGGCCGGAGTTAGGGAGATGAACTTGGGTGATTGGGNNNAGCCTACAAAGGTTTTTGGGTTATCAAGGGTCCAGCAAAATGAGGTTGTAATCGGATGTGATAACATCTGTTAATATGATTCGACCGAGAGCCGCCCTAAAGTCTTAGTCTGGCATCAAAGAACAGAGTTACAACCAAAAAGTTTTCTTTGGTTCTAATAATCATCGTCTGTCGATTGAGGACAGTTTACCGTCAGTGGGTCGACAAAATATTGTTGGGAAAATATGAGCGGTGTTTTCACGTTGTCATAAGCTTACCCTAGTGGATATTGAAATCGGTATTCCACTTTAACAGCTCTCGACTGACGACTAATCGGCATAAGATTCGTAACTTATCTTCCTATGCGTGTCCGACAAACACACGATCGGTCGGATGGGCCAGTTGCAACAAGGGACATGACGCTTACCCAGCTAGCACGAGCCGATCGTCCAGTGATCTTAGACTGTGAATAACAGGAGTCCTATCACCCCACGTCTGGACTACAGGTCACAGCAAGTGTCACAAGCATTACGAACAGATGATCAAAAAGTCTTATGTCAGATAGTGGGGTTGAAAGTTACGCAAGTCGCGGGAAATTGTCCAATCAGACCGTAAAGAGGATCAGTGGAAAGTTTAACTGTGAGATCACGGGTGAGAGGAATAAAGCATGAAATGATGATTCAATCGCACAGAACTTCATCAAGACTAAAGGGTTTGGGCTTAGACCGGTCTTTTTAGACTTGCAGTCCCGGACCATTACTCGTGGTTTGGCGGAAATTGATTCAGGCTCAACAGTTGTTTGCAAACAATTACCAATCGTACCGTGTAAATCCGTATAACGTCCGAAAAAAGTTCTTTCGTGTGAAGTGTTTTATGTTCTAGAAGTCACATTCTCGCCGTAATGAATTTCAATAGGGAAAATAAAAGCACACAGTCTCGTATTTTTGGCTTATTTCCTGTTATTTACTTAAAGTTGTTTTGCATCGAGTTATACAATCGAATATAAAATCCTTGTAAATGAAAAGCGTTTACCATTCTTAATTGGGATAATTCTTTTTATCAGACTATAAACAAACTACTGTTGTAGAAAGGATCGGTGCATTTTGTTTTGCTTGTTGAAGGTAATTTATGTGAATCCGGCTTTTGTAACAACTGACAATATACCTATCGAAGGCGGCCAAGTGTCCCGCTTCTAAATGATCCGCTCCGTAAGGGCCTTTAGCTGACTTCTCCTTTTCCCCCATCGCACGAGACATAGGTCGACCAGGGGTAGCTCGTGATTCCTTGATCTCTCCTATTTGTGGCTGTGTGGGTTGTTTAGGTGCCTTCTCTTCCATCTTCTTGCCTTTACGTTTATTCATTCTGTGATAAAGAAGGGGATAAAAAGAGTAAATGAAAATGGCAGCAACCGGTTTGACCATATTTATTCTTAGTCCAAAACAGAACTCAAACTCAAAAGTGATCGTATTGTTTTCTCTTCCCTTTTGCGTGAAATGTAAGAAAATGAAGCATTTTTATGGACAGTTGGGTACATTGCACAAAACACGGTGTGCTGTACTTAGTGAGGAACACTTCCAGGTTTTTGATCATCTTATATCTAATCCAAAGTATAAAAACTGGTTAATACAAAACGTCCCAGGTTCGGGAAGGAATTTAATATTAACCATCTGCATACGATTATGCTCAAACCGAGCACGTTTCAGGGAAAGTCAATTTTGAGTGCAGAGAAGCAAGAGGCGCCCAATGTGCCTTAGAATTCCTCTAAATCAACGCCAATAATTTCTGACTTATCGGCTGTGATACGGTCACAGAAAGTAACTGAAAATGTATCGGCATTTGTCTGCCTTCCATGTTGTGTGCACAAATTTTAGTCGTAATCAGACTCTAAACCAAGAGATCCTCGACTCAATTTTCTGAGATGGCCGCTTTTGATGCAAAACGGATCCGTTAGGTGCACATATAAAATAATTATCTTTAGGTTTGTGATAAACAATGAGGTAACGCCTAGTGATGAAATGGATAGAATCGCATGTGTTTCGTAAATTGAATTAATCAACTTGTCTTTTGGTTTGTTCAAGCTATTTGGTGGCCTTCTTTGACAAAACATAGACTAGATGGTGATACTATGTTTTGTGCTTGACATTCTTTTTAGCTCAAACCGTAAGAGAAAACCATCTTATTTTCTCAATCAAGAAAAGATCGGATTATAAGTGACAACAGTCCCCAAAGATGTCATAGAGTTTTATTGTGCACTCGGCGTGTATGGATATTTCGGTCAAAGATAGATTGCAGGTTACGGTAAATGGTCATATTACATTTCCGGCAGAATTTATTGTGGTTCAACTTAACAATTCCTTTCTGCTGGCTTCAAACCAAGTTATAAAATTATCAAATGCACCTTGACTAGCAACGCATAGTCTTGTGACGCAATCCCAAGCCACCCGTGTTTGTGGTTTACAAAGTAATTAGCATAAATTCCTGTCGGACGAATCGCTCACATGAAATGGAGACATAAAGCAATGATTTCTCTGTGTCCTCCGGCTTGTTTCATTCCTATCCATGAAGTTTACTTCGATTAACCAGTTTTTCTGGTTATTCAATAGAGAAGTCGAAAGTTAAATTTATTGTCAAAACGACTTCGGACAGGAAACTCCGAGCTTCCTCAGTTAAGCACCCATTTTATATTATCCAGAGCATATAATGTCAGCTTGAACTAGTGAGGTACTGCGAGGAGAAATCAGATGCAATGAAAATAAACCGACCATCTGCAAAACAAGAATAAATTTTCCAAACCCTGATATTATACAGAAATACTTATCATTGGTTTACGGAGGGAAAAAAACAATAATTCAACTTTATGGCTGACTTCTCTAGCTCCAAACGTCTAGCTTCTGCCTCACGCTCTTCGCGTTCTTTTTCTTCCCGAATTCGCTTTGCTTCCAGTTCGCGGTGGCGGATCTCTCGGCGCTCCTGAGTTCGTAGATCATCCACGGTTTTTTTCTCTTCCTCAGTCAACAGACCGTATTCGAATTCGTCCATCTGCAGTGCTCGCTGGCGTCGTGCAGTTTCCTCAGCTGCTTTGGCCATAGCCTGAGCAGCTTCCATCTCTTCCTCCAGTACTTTTAAATAGGCCAACTCAGCCCTAACTGTAACAGCGTAAATGAACTGGCGTTCTTCTAGCGCTCGAAGAACCAATTGAGCAGTCTTTTGGGACGATTCAGTAAATTGTGATTCCAGCCCATTCACAATGATTCCCTTGAAGCAATCTTCCTGTGCAAATCGCTCCTGAAGTAAGGTAACAACCAGATCATCTGGAAGCACGGTTGAGTACAACTGATTTTCCCGTAACTCGGCTGGCTCCTCGTCCTCGCAGGAATCTGTAATATTTTCTTCCATATCAAATTCAACCAATGGTGCTCCAGTGGAAGAAAATCCCGTCAAACTGATTCGACGGGGTATTGGAGCGCCTATAGAAGGCGGGCTACTTGGGCGCTGTCAAAATGTAAACGAGGTTGAAGAATAAACGTGATGCATTCATGACAGTGTAGTCTTCTCACTGTATTTAAATGGAGGTTTTCAGAAGTTAATCGAATCAGCTAAGATGAACTGAAGAGCATACTGTCCCCGCATGTTCGTTTCAGTTAATAAATCTATACATACAAAAAATTGGAAGAAACGACAAGGGCCAGCATGACCTATATGTGCTTGTGTGTGTGTGTGTTCAGTTTCATCTGTCTACTCTCACTCCTGCATGCTCTCAACCAACTGATTGACTCAAAACGTTTGCTATCGTTATTTCCTGATACTGATACGCATAACCAACCCATAACTTTTACTTTAGACTAGATTTTAAAACCACTGGTCATCAACTGTGCAACTATGATTTTTGCAGTGTTATACTTCAAACTGAAACGGGTGAAATATGTGCATAAATACACTTATTTCTATTTGAGTTTAAAATAGATTGACAAGAATTTACTTAAATTTAGGACCCCGGAAACAAATGAATGATGTTACACAGCATACCATTGCCGACTAGTAT